TCCCTAAGCATCACAAACAAATGATTGGTGGTGTATATTTAATGTTTCAGATGAGGAGACAAGGACTGAGAATGGGAAGCTAATTGTTGACACAGACTCTGGCAGAAGAGTGGAATTATCTGGGAAAATATCTGAACCTATAAAGGTTCCTTACGTAGACTCTAACTTGGAGAGGCAGCTGGCAAAGCCTAAGGAGAAGACTGAATATAAATGCTCAGAATGTGGGGAGGGATTCATTCAGCACTCAGACCTGATTCAACATGAGGATATACACATGGGAGCAAAGTTCTGTGAGTCAGAAGTGTGTCAGAAGTCTAGTCTTAGTGGACATCAGAAGATCCGCTCTAGAGAGAAAGGTCATCAATGTCATCAGTGTGGAAAAGCCTTTCAGAGGAGTTCACACCTTGTCAGACATCAGAAAATCCATCTTGGTGAGAAGCCTTATCAGTGCAAAGAGTGTGGAAAAGTCTTTAGTCAGAATGCAGGCCTTTTGGAACATCTCAGAATCCATACTGGAGAGAAGCCTTATCTGTGTATCCACTGTGGAAAGAACTTTAGGCGCAGCTCTCACCTTAATCGGCACCAGAGAATTCACAGTCAGGAGGAGCCAGGTGAGTGCAAGGAGTGTGGAAAAACTTTTAGTCAAGCCCTGCTACTCACCCACCATCAGAGAATCCACAGTCACTCAAAAGGTCATCAATGCAATGAGTGTGGGAAAGCCTTCAGTTTGACCTCGGACCTTACTCGACATCACAGAATTCACACTGGAGAAAAACCTTTCAAATGTAGTGTATGCCAGAAAGCTTTTCGACTAAACTCACATCTTGCTCAACATGTGAGAATCCACAATGAAGAAAAACCCTATGAATGTAACAAGTGTGGAGAATCCTTCAGGCAGAGGTCAGGTCTATTCCAACATCAGAGATATCACCACAAAGGTAAACTGGCTTGCTGAGGTGTCCTCTCCTTATGGAAGACCAGAGAAGGATATTCTGGCAGCGCTTTGGGAAGAGTCTCTCTAGCCAGCTCTGGCATCCGAGAATTCTTGGGAGCCAGGTTGGAGGCTGCCTGCCTTCCATTCCCTCTCATTTTAGTTTTCTCTCCTTTGTTTTTCTTAAAGTCAGCTTTGGACCACAATAGTTTGCCTGCAGATGATACCATGGAATCAGAATTACACAGCATTTTTTTATTGCAGGACTTCTCAGAGCCTTTTACATGACAAATATATCTACAGGCAGTAGAGCATCTCATGATTGACCAAGCAAGAGTTTGGAGAATACAGTAAATGAAGTTGTTGTTGTTGTTATGTGCCGTGGAGTCGGACCTGACTCGGCGACACCTCCTTGGGTTTCTGAGGTGGTATCACTACAGAAGTAGATTGCCCAACCTTTCTTCCAAGGAGTGGCTAGTGGGTTTGAACCACCAGTCTTGTGGTTAGTAGTCAAGTGCCTTAGGCACTGTGCTACCAGAGCTCCAGTGAATGAAGTATGCACAGATTTACAGGCTTAAACAAAACAAGAACAGATTGGTATTTTTGCATATGCTGTAGTGACAGACTTCTATAAAATAAAACTAGTGAGTTTTAGAAATATACCACTCTCAAAAGTGACTTAAAGCACAGATTAATGGTGAACATTTCTCCCCAATTGGTATTGCCCTGACTTCCACCTATCCCATATAAGTGAAAGCATTTTGGAAAACAAAATTGCTGGTTAACTGTTGAAGTCGCCGTCAAGGTTGGTTTCATGTCATTTACCATTTCCTACCACATTATATCCTTGATTCAAGTTATAAATCAAGGTTTTAATAAAACTATAGAAAAGATTTAATGAGTCATTTAAATGTCTCACTTGATAATCGCAGTGACAGTAGAATGGCCGATACATAGCCATTATTCAATAAATATCTGGTGGAAGAAACTGGACTCTTTTTCTTCAGTATTGATGAGAAGTAATTATAAAATGTTACTTGTCTTAAGTTCTTTGAAAGTCAAATAATAAAGAAAGCTTGGAGGAAAACATAACCTTTATATTGTGAGTACCAAAATGTTACAGCATTGGTGAAGAATATTAAGCTTAGGGGAATCCACTCCCAAACATCATCAGGATGATAAATATAACTTACTAATTGATAGTAGCTGTGTAGGATACTGCTGTCCAGAGTAGGCTTCTCGTTGATGTGGGCAGATTGGTAAACTCTAAAGTATTGGTTAGCACTGGGCTCTGCTACAAATAATAATAATAATAATATAATAATGGGGGGGGGAGCAATGGTGTAATAGAATAAAAGTGTGTTGTTGTCTCAAAGGCCACAGATGCAAAGTCTAGAACTGCTCCCCTATCCCAGTGCATACCTTCAGCTCTTAAGGTCATCATATGATCTCAGTGGCTGCTAAAGTTCTAGCCCACAACATGCAAAAAGTGAACAAAAAGTCGGACAAAAAAGACCAAAAAAATGGCCAGTTGAGTCAGCTTCTTTGGATTGTTGTTGTTAGGTGCCATCAAGTTGACTCCGATGGTGAAGAACAAGCGACCCTGTGCACAACAGAAGGAAACACTGCCCAGTCCTGTGCCATCCTCACAATCCTGGCCATGTTTGAGCCCATCGTTGCAGCCAGTGTTTCAGTGCATCTCACTGAGGGTCTTCCCCTTTTTCACTGACCTTCCACTTTACCAAGCATGATATCCTTCTCCAGGGAATGACCCCTTCTGACAGCATGCCTGAAGTGGGTGAGATGAATTCTGGCCATTCTTGCTTTCAAGGACCGTTCTGACTGCACTTCTTCCAGGACAGGTTAGTTCATTCTTCTGGCAGTCCATGGTGTTTTCAGTATTCTTTGCCAACACTATAATTCAAAGGCATCGATTCTTCTTCACTCTTCCTTATTCATTGTCCAGCTTTCACATGCACAAGAGGTGATGGAAAATACCATGGCTTGGGTTAGGCTCCCCTTAGTCTTCAAAGAGACATCTTTGCTCTTCAGAATTTTAAAGAGTTCATTTGCAGCAGATTTGTCCAGTGCAATACATTGTTTGATTTCTTGACTGCTACTTCCATTGGTATTGATTATGGATCCAAATAATATTAAATCTTTGACAATATCAGTCTTTTCTCCATTTATCTTGCTGTTGCTTATTGGTCCAGTTGTGCAGATCTTTCTTTTCTTTATATTGAGGTGCAATCCATACTGCAGACTGTAGTCTTTAATCTTCATTAGTAAGGGATTCAAATCATCTTCATTTTCAGCAAGCAAGGTTGTGTCATCTGCATACTGCAGGTTGTTAATGAGTCTCCCTCCAATCCTGATGCTGCATTCTGCTTCATGTAGTCCAGCTTCTTGGATTTGATTAGCATACAGATTGAATAAGTGTGGTGAAAGGATATAACCCTGATACAGACTCTTCCTGATTTTAAACCATGTGTATCCCCTTGTTCTGTTAAAAAGACCTCCTCTTGTTCTAAGTACAGGTTCCCCATGAGAATAATAGTGTTCTGGAATTCCCATTCTTCTCAGTATTATCCATAATTTGTTATGATTCCTGCCGTTGAATGCCTTTGCATGGTCAATAAAGTGTAAGAAAACATATTTCTTGTATTCTTTTCTTTCAGCCAAGATCCATTGGACATCAAAAATTACATCCTTCATTACACATCCTCTTCTGAATCTGGCTTGAATTTCTGGAAGTTCCCTGTCAATGTACTGCTGCAACCATTTTTTATTTATCTTCAGCAAAATTTTACTTGCATGTGATATTAATGACATTGTTTGATAATTTCCACATTCTGTTGGATTGTCTGTCTTTGGTTTGGGCACAAATATGGATCAGTTGTAGTCAGTTGGCCAGGTAGCTGTCTTTCAAATTTCTTGCCATAGATGAGTAAGCACCTCCAGGGCTGCATCCATTTGTTCAAACATCTCAATGGGTATCCCATCAATTCCCGGAGCCTTGTTTTTCACAAGTTCCTTCGGTACAGCTTGGACTTATTCTTTGAATACCATTGGTTCTTGATCATATGCTATAGTGACTCTGTTCCTTCCATCTCCTTTTTTTTTTTTTTTTAATTGTGATTTGGGTGAAGAGTTACAGAGCAAATTCACTTTCCATACAGCAGTTCACATATACTTTGTCTCATGTCATTGACCACAGTTTACTACAATGCAACA